TGCTCCTTCCAGTACAGCTGGACAGTTGCCTGGGAGAGTGTTCTCTGCTCCTGTCTGAAACCTGCCCCTTTCTTGTCCTGCAGTAGTCAGAATTCCACACTTGTCCCTCCTTTTCCAACCTTCACAGTAGCCCACTCCCCTTTCACTTTATATTCAACTCCAGGATCTCTGTTGGCACCAGCACATACTTGTCTCTCTTCCACCTACACTCCCTGGTGCCATGCCATCACAGGAGCACTCTCCATCCTCTCCTCTTCTCTTCCCCCTCCCCTTCTGCTTCACCCCTGATTCTGTACCCCTCCAACACTGAGAAACCTCACACGGTCTCCCCTACTATACTGTGACCTCTTTATGGGTGGAGACCACAGTGTGTCTCAGATCCTAGCATGACACTGGGTACAGAGGCATTGTCAACTCAGTCTCCAATGAACTGAGAAGGTTCGGCCTGCCGTGGGTGGCTGCAGAGCAGGAGGGGAGGCCCAGCCCAGCCACTTCTCTTCTGCACAGTCCTGGGGAGACTGGAAGGCCTGGTGCCCCTCATTATCCATCCCTCCTGTCACACTTCCTAGGGAAAACAAACACGGCTGTAGCTTGATATCCGGCCGGAGGCCCTGTCAGTGAGATTCACATTTGAAGGTTTCCCTTGCATTAATTTCAGACAGAACATAAATATGGACTTGGGATGCCTCTTCCAGGAGGAGAAAACTGGAAACCTGCATGCACACTGGAGAGAAAACATGTGTGCTGGCCGAGGGCGCCCTCGTTACTCTGGAGGCTGTGTGGGAACATCTGGTTCTCCCCACCTCCTCTGTCCAGCCCCCCCCCCCCGCTGTCTTGAAATTGCCCTGTTAATTGGCGCATTGTTCATGCGGAGCGCTTGCACACTTTTCTCTCCAATCTGCTGAACCTTGGAAGGTACACGTGTTTTTGACAATTTCTTGCCCCCAAACGTGTCATCCCTGCAGCTGCCAGTACTTCAGAGGAGGTATTCTGGAGCTTGCTGTGAATGGGGACTGCTCTGGGGTAAAGCCCCAAAAGCCTTGCCTCTTACCAACTGCGTGACCTTAGATACGGCCTCCTTCCCTTGCTGAACCTCAGTTTCTTCATCTGTAAAGTGGGAACCCCTCCAAGGGCTGCTTTGAGGATGAAGTGGAGGAACATGGCCTGGAGGCTCACCGAATATGTTCAAGTTACCACAAAGTGGAACACTACAAGTGGGGAGCCCAGGAGGCCGGGGGCACTACCCTGTGTGGGGAAATTGAGACACAAAGAGGGAAAAGAAACTACCCAAGGACATAGGGTTGGTTGATAAACCAAGTTTAGTGCCCAGGCTCTGTTTTACCCTACCTGCCCATGTCAGAGGATCAGGTGGAGCTGCCTGGCTGTGGTCTCTGCTCTCCAAGCCCTGTGTCCTGGCATAGCCCAGCTTGCATCAGAAGAAAAGGACCTTTTTCTCTGTTGTGAAACATCTAAGCACTGCTCCCTTTCCTGTTTGTATATAGATGTCCTGTAAGTGGGCCCCTGGTTTGTCTCAGGGAGAAAAGTCCAGCCCAACCCCCACAATGTTGAAGCTGTACACTCCCAGGACCTGGACCCTGCCTGTGTCTATCTGATTCCACCCATCTTGGAACCGTCTCTCCACCATGCCCTTTGCTTCCACCTCTGGGTTCTCCCTCCTCTCTTCCGCCCTCTCTTCCCTTGTCATCCCTGCAGCTGCCATCTCTTTCCCGGTATCTCTGCATCTCTTTGCCCTGCCCTTCGCTCTGTCTGGGTGTCTCTCCCCTTTCTCTCCTCGCTGTTGTTTCTGCATCACTTACAGCTGACCTGTGACCCCTCTCCTTTGTCCTCCTTGCTTGCTTCCTGGGGCTCTCCTATCTTCTTTCCACCCCTATCCCCCATCCTGTGACTATCCATCCACTTTGCCCTACTTCCCCCTCTTTGTCCCCATGGCTCTCTATACCCTACCCTCATTTTCTCCTCCCTTGTCCTCTCAGACTGGACTCAGCAGGCTAAATGAAACGTGTCTTCCTGCAGAGAGCTGGCCAGAGAACAGCTGGAAGCTAGTGCTGGAGGGAGCTGCTAAATGGTGGCCAGGAGCCCCAGGGAGGCTGGGCAAGCCAGGCAGACTGAGCCCCAACACTGTGGGACCACTTTGGAGACCTTCCACCACCTTCCCTACAGGTTCCAGCTTGGAAGTGGTGCCTTGCTCAGGATTTCCAACCTTGGAACCAAGCCTAAGCCCTGTCTGCCAGCCTCTAGGGACATCATGCACTGGACTTTGACTCCAGCCTGTACTAGGGCCAAACTCCTGGGATTGGTGGAATCTAGGGGTGCATCACCAAGGGCCAGGGCTGGGCTACAAGAAAGGGGGGACTCAGGTCTCCTGGGGACAGGATGAGATCATGGAAAGGATATGGAGGAACAGACTATGTCACTCAGTCATTCAACAAACATTCATGGAGCCATAGTGGTATGCCAGATTTGGACTTAACTCTGGAGACAAAGATGAATCAGGCATGGTCCCACCCTCAAAGAGCCCATATTCCCCCCATCAGGTGGCTTTTTGAGAGCACATTCTAACAGAGTCAACTCCGGGGTGTGGACAGGTTGGTTTAGCTGCAGTGATGAGAAAGAACAGGATGATTCCTGCAGTCTGGCAACAGGTGGTGGTGGCTGGGCAGTCAGGTATGTTTGAGAGGTGACATCACAGGTCTCTGCTGACTGTCAGGGAATGAAAGCCAGCATAGCTTCAGTAACAATGCCCAGGAGAAGCACAGTGCTGGCATGGACAGAGGGCATGCAGGACTAGTGGGCTCCAAAGAGGTTGGAAAGAGATGAGCATGGTCCATTAATCAGCTGCATCTGAGCTAGGTGGCAGTTCCAGAGTCATCAGTGTTGTAGGATCATCAAACCCACAAAGAGGAGGATTGGTAGCTGGAGTGTGAGCAGAATGAAGAGGGAAGAGGCCAAGGGCAGGTTCCCAAGACTCCTGCTTGGACTGGGTAAGAGAAAGCCTGCCGAAGAGTAGGGGAATGGGGAGAAGTACACAGGGCAGAATGGGACTTGGGCACCAGGAAGTTGCAACCAAGGGTCTCATGGGACCACGTACCAGAGAGGGTGAGTATTGGGAATACTGGCTGGACATGCACGACTTGCACCACAGAGTTCTAGGCACAGATCATGTGGAATTACACTTCCTGGGGTTGTATAAAGAATAGTAGAGAAATACCATTCCCCCCTCCCAGGAGGGAGGAGAAGAGGGGAGGGGAAGAGTGTGACTCAGAGGACACGAAGGTGGGAATTTGAATTTGCACTGTCCCTGCTTGCTTTCTCCAATTATCTCCAGTCTTGTGTTTATGGTCCTAAGGAAACCAACCCAGTTCAGAAGCCTTGAGATTGATGGAATGCAAGGGTGTGCCAAGCAGAAATGGGAGACACTCGTGCTCAGGGTCCAGTGACATCACTTGAGGCCTCCAGTGCAGGGACCATGTACAGCTTCGCAGAGCCTGAGGCCCCCTCTGATCATCTCCTCAGCGCAGCCACAGCCTCAGGATAGTCAGTGGATATACCTTGCTTCTGTGCAGCTCAAGGCTTGTAGTTTTCTCTTGGTGACTCTTAACCTTCTGGACAAACATGTGGACCGTAACTGGGCCATGAGAGCTTATATTTTATTATTTATTTTTATTTTATGTCTGAGTGTTTTTCCTACATGTATGCAAATTCACCATGTGTACAGGGCCAAGAGGGTATCAGATCCCTTGGAACCAGAGTTATAGTTGTTAGCCATTATGTGGGTGCTAAGAACTGAACCTAGGTCCTCTACAAGATCAGCCAGTGCCCTTAACTTCTGAGTCATCTCTCCAGGCCCTAGATCTTATCTTTAAACCCAGATCTCCATGGAAGCAGAAGAGGACTTATCTCACCATCAGGAGCAAAAGCTAAGTGCTCCTGGCACAGACTCCTACCTCCTGGGCACTGAAGGCTGTCACCCACTGCTCCCTTCCAGCCTGACAGAGCAGGGGCAAGCAAGAGAGGATGACTCCAGCCCAGCCAGGATCTGTGTCAGGATGGTGCACTGGCTTCTCCAAAGGGTTTTCACCTCCTCATGCTTCACTGGGGCTTCAAGTTGTCCTAGGAGAAAGTCAAAGAGTTATAGGCCCATCTAACACTTGGGGGACATAAGACACTAGTGACAGAAAAGCCATCAGCTAGGATTACCGGCTGAAGGGATGACACAATGCTTGTCCTCAGTACAGGTCAAGGCCTGGTTCTGGAGAGAGGGGTCCTGTTCATGCCTGGGCTGCCATCTGCCTCACTTCCCCTTCTAGCCTTTGCACATGCTACTCCCCACTGGAACCCCTTTGCCCCTCCACCTGACTTCCACCCTCACCTAGGTAGCACTGCCTTCTCCAGGAAGTCTGCCCAGTCCCCACACTGACTTGGTCTCTGCCCATCAGAGGGCTGACAAGGAGACCCGCACTGAAGAAAGGAGACATAAGTTGCTGATGGAATTTATAGAGATGAGCTGTAGACCTGCTGGAGGGTTTCTTAAACTGGGCATTGTGAGACTTCTGTAGGCTTCCCAGACTGAACAGGCAGGAGCTGGGGTCAGCTTAGTGGCATTAGACACAGGAATGCAACAAACAACACTTAGAAGCCCTTCCTGCATGCCAGTCCCTCTTCTCTGAATCCCTCACAATCTGGAGAGAACGATCATAAGAGGAAACTGAGGAATGCAGAAGTACAGCTTGTGAGAAGCCGAGCTAGGGTGTGAATTCAGGTAGGGTGGCACCGAGAATACATCCTCCTTACTAAGCAACACTGCCTGGACTCGAAGGAGTCCTGTTGCTGAAGTGTGGGCATTCTCTGTCCCAACTCCCACCCAGGACCTCCACTAGTATAACTTACTTGTCCAGACACAAACCCAGGGTTGGCCAGAGACTGTGTCCCCTAGATGATGACCTGGCATGTGACTGAGCCCACTTTACATCTTGTTTCAGGTCACTTTCTGGGGAACAACACAGTCATTGATGTCCTACGGCAAGCAGGGCTGGAGGTAGACCACACACCTGCTGGGCAGGCCATTCACAGGTAAGCATTGGAGCATCTGGTGCCATCTTGGGACTGATTGGCCTACTGCTGCCTGACCATGTGCTATGGTCACTGCCCCTATGATCTGTTCAGGCCTAAGGGTAGAGCTGTGACACAGCCTATGGTGAAATGAGGCCTTGTGGGAACAGGTTAGACCAGACATCTTGACTAGAAGGGACTAGAGATAGTAAGTAGGAAGAGCACCGATATATAGTCTTGATGGAAGACCTTGGTGCACTGGGAATCGGGGCAGCATTAGAACTTGAAGATTTGGGAGTTCAGATACAAGTGGATTGAATAGGCATAAGTGACCTCAGTTGCTACCTAGAGACTCAATGGACAATCGGGCCCTAAATGAAGATTGGTGCCATTGTAAGAAAAGCTGTGGTTTGGTTTCTGGCCTGTGTCCATCCCCACTACATGCCCCCCTTGCTGCCCCACCCACTCATGGGCCTCTCCTTCCTGACTGTACCTGCTCCATAGCTTCCTCTAGCTTTGCTCTTCACCTCTAACTTCCCTGCCAGGACACTCCCACTCTGCTCACAGAGGCACAGTCTGTGCCTCTTCCTGTGATGGTTCCTACCCTGCTCTACCCGACCCATCTGCAGCCTGGAAGCTGCCCAAGGGCAGGCACCAATGCAACCTATTTGAGTATCCATGGCACCAGTACCAGGCAAGAACCAGGCTGTAGATCTCAAATCTCCAGCAGCACTGGAGGTCAAGATCAGGCTCCTCAAACTCAGAGGCTTATGCTCCCAGCCTTTATGCAGGAATCTCTCATAAGTCCACCAGGATAGCCCTATTGTGATTTCAGTCCCTGCTCCTGAGGGACTGAAAGACCCAGAGTCTGAAGGAGGCTTCATTAATCGCAGCAAGGTGGTATTGGCTGCTCACTCTGTACAGGGCTCTAAGTGCTTCTAACTCATTTCCTCCTTCCCAAAGCATGACAGGACAGGAACAATGAGTATTGCTGACTTACATCTAGTGTGTCTGAGCCTACAGTGAATCCACTTGCAGAAGACACCCTTGTGTAACAGTCTGGCTGCAGCTTCCCTGGCTTTTAACTACTTGAACTTACTCAGGGCATAGGAGGCTCAGGAATGGCTGAGGCCTTGACCTTCAGAGATGAAGCTTGCTGAGGTCCTCAGAGCCAGAGCTGAGTCCTGGCTTCATATCATGCTCTCCTGGTTCCATGTCACTTCTACAGGAACTTACTGCTCTAGCACTGGAACTCTATCCCAGCCTCCTACCATTTCCCATGAGCCCAGAGAGAAGCAGCTTGTGGGGGAAGAGAGACTGGGGCAGGTGTGTTTGAAAGATAAGGGATACAAGGTAGCCTGAGGGTCAAGACATTCCTCAAGGCCCCTCCTCTCCCCTCACTTCATCCTTCTCCCCATGTCCCCAAGGACCTTCCCCTTGAAGCTCATTGTGTGTGGCCAGGCAAGGCAGGGGAGGCAGGCAGTCTCCCATTCATCTTGCCTTCCAGACACTAGAAGAGAGGATCTCCTTCTCTTCCCCCACTGGCTCTGCTGGAGGCTCTGCCTCCCAGAAGGATTCTAATCTTAGTCCCTTGTACAGGGGAATGAGAGAACCCTAGCAGAGGAGGGGGGATGGGGATGCTGAGGAGGCTCTAACAATAAAAGCCATCCTTGGCCACAGGTGCTTGCTGGTGCTTTTTGTCTGACTGTTTTGAATTATCTCCTTAACAGCTGCAGCATCTCCAAAAGACTGGACCCTGGGAGTGTGGGGCTGCCATAGGGGCTGGGAGAGGATGGGCTGAGCTGATGGCCTTTTTCCCTTCAAAGAGAGAGAACCCCCTCACCCATCCACTGTGCAGTGTGAGAATGGAGTAGGAAGGCTTTGGATCCTGGGTACCACCTCCCTTGCAAGCTATTTGCTCAGACACAATTCTTAAAACCACACCCAACTGTCCTCAAGTGCCAGATGTCCCCTGGAATTCCTTTGGGGCCACAGAATTCATTTTATTTTTATAAAAGGGAAAGTATACACAGGCTGAGAGGCCCATCCCTGTTTGGAGCATTGGAGCACGAATTTCACAAACATGAATACATGGCACTTCAGTGCCCTGCATAATCAGGCCCCTTGTCTTGGTAGCCAACATCAGAGAGAGGTTTTGTAGGCACCAGGCACTGTTCTTGGTCCTCCCACTCATTCACTCTCATAACACTCTGATGAGGCTGGTAGCAATATTTCCTCTCCCCTTCTCCAACAAGTCACTGCTCACAGAGTATTTCTCCCTTAGTTACACTGCCTGAAGATTATAAATGGAATGTGAAGAGCATCTATCAGCCTCCAGGTTGAACCCTAGGGACCTAGCCCCGTCCTGCCTCCACTGAAAATGTGCTCAGTAGACCTTCAAAGCACACAAACAGCTAGATGAAGTAAAGTAACACAAGCATCTGGAGTAGTATCTGCTACTAAACGACATCAACTCTCACACTGCCTAGTGGGTGAGCTGCCTGTTGTTGCCAGGCACTATTCTCGGCGCATTGCCTGTGTTCACCTACATCCCCCTCATGATGTCCCTGGGAGGTAACAGGCCAATGTATCCCTACTTTACAGAGTAGGAGACTGAGGCACAGCAAAGTTAGATAACTCACCTAGAGTCCTTCAGCCTGAGGTCACGATGAGTGAGACACTGACAGATCAGGTGTGGGGACAGACCACCTTCTCCAATGAACCACTTCATCCCCATGCTCTTGCACCTGTCTCTGCCATGTGTTATCCTCGGTGGTGTGGCCACCAGATGTCCTGTGTGTTTTACTCTGTCCTCCACTTTGGGGTGTCAGCTATAAGAGGACGTCTGTTTGGATCACTACTGATATTTAATTCCTAGAAAAATGCCAGCTGCAGGGAGTCGTACAAGAGATATTTATAGGTTAAAAGATGAAAGAATGAATCAATGCTCTGTCTCTCTACAACAACAGTTGCCCCAGATCCCTCTCACCGAACCCAGCAGAGACACTGACTATTCCTCTGCCTTGACGACAGACAGTGCCACTGCATTCCCCACTCCACACACACACACACACACACACACACACACACACACACACACACCACACACACGACCCACTCAATTGTTCTTCCCCTTTCCAGTCCTGCTGCTGGGAGCCTAGCACCCCCTCCTGAAAGGACCTCTGCCAGCCCAGACCCAGTGACCCCAGGTGCTGCAGTTCCTGAAGTACCCTCAGTGACCCCCACCGCTCCTCCTGAGGAAGAAGATGCAGCCCTGTCCCCACATCTCCTGCTCCCTGACAGCCTCAGCCAGCTGGAGGAGTTCGGAAGGCAAAAGAAGTGGCACAAGAAACAAAACAAACAGCAGCGGCCGAGGCAGTTCAACGACCTCTGGGTCCGAATTGAGGACAGGTGAGCCACGGAGGAGTAGGTTGTCTAGAAGCTGGGTGTTGGCCACCCCGGGATTGAGTACGCTGGCACAGACCTTGCTCTGAGCAAGTATGGAGTGGAGTGTCAGTATAGAAACTTCTGGGAAGGCTCTTCCCTGTCTACCGAGAATCGCTGTGGTCATCTTTTAGGGTTTATAGAATATATACACTTTGGAGTTTTAGCCTCAACACAAGAGCAAGTAGAATTCTCTGCACTTCAAAAGTGAAGAGAGGAGCCTGATGTCACAGGCCAATGAGACTGAGGCAGAAACAAAGCAAGTTCAAGGCCGTCCTGGGCTACAGAGTGAATTCAAGGCCAGACTGGGCAATGAATGAGATTCTGTCTCAAAATCAAAAGTAGAAAAAAAGGGTGATGATGTAGCACAGTGATAGAGTGCTTGCCTGTCATAAGAAGACCCTGGCTTCAAATCCCAGTACTGCGGTTAATTAGTTAACTGATTAAAATTAAAATGAAGAAATGGAAGCTTCCTCAGGTGGCATAAACAAAAATCTGCCATGCCCAGGCTGCACCTGTTTGATCACATTTGATTCATTTGGCCCATGGACTAGAGGTGAAACTAGGACCAAACTCAGCAAGCTAACTATGCCAGAAGTTTTAAGCTCCCTGTGCCTAGAAAGTGTGAGCACTAACACCATATCAGAGAGGCTCCTGAGGGGCCCCCACCTGTGAGAGAAAGAAACAATCGGTAACTGATGCCCATGACTATCTCAGGAATATTGCCGTGAACCCTGATATAAACGGTATATCCTAACGTGCTGAGGCCTTCCATCCTCTTCTGTGCATTCTTCCTGTCATCAACACCTCCTTCCTCAGTCTGTCATTACAGTTCCTGCTCAATCCAAGATGTTGCCTGCCACCCCCCACTCAGTCTCTACGGAGCAGTCTTCCTAGGTTCCCTATGTACTAAGAATCTCTGCATTCGGTGAATAGTGTCACCAGGGAATGTCTCAGTGAGGGACTGTCAATGAAAAGGCAAAGTCTTACCCACTGTGGTAGCCCAGTTCTGGACCTGATATTTGGGCAGTGGGGCTATAGAACCCAGTCCTCATCTGGACCCTAATGATGCCAACAGAATTTTCTTCGATATCCTGGACAGAATTACCGTGGGTACTTGTTAAAGAAGCAATTCTTCCATTCCACACAGAGCTCATACATGAGAATCTGCAGGGCAGAAGTTGAGGGCCTTGTGGATGTGCCTCAGGAGGCTCTAAGCAGCTCTGGGAAGCACTGACCCAATTGTGCATTCATGAATATGAACCAAAGCCCAGAGCCAGAGGGCCTGTCTAGGGCCACACAGAAAACCAGGAGCTGTCTTGTCCCTTGTACTTCCTGATTCTTCTCTAGTCAGGTCACTGAGCTAGTAACAAAAGATTGACCATAGTCCAGGCTCCATCATACAGGACATGGAAACACCTTAAAAAGACTGCCAGCAAGTAAGAGTCAAGGCCACTGAGCCTTCAGTCACTGGTGTCAGAGCGCCTCCAGTGGGTTATTGCAGAATGTACTTCAGCGGAGCCCTTGACAGTCCTGTGTCCCACAGCAGAGGCATCACTGTAAATATACTGGCCTCTGACACATTTGAGTCAGGTGCCCAGTTTGAGCCACATTTCTTAAACAGAAACAAGAGTTTAGAGTTTCAGAGCGCCACACCCTTCAGTAATGGACAGGCTTGCAGGCTGCCAGCAGTGCACTAGAAGCTCAAAGAAGAGTTGGTCACTCAGAGTCTTGATCACCTCACCAAGGTGACCTGGAGACTTGGCCAACGGAGGACCTAACCTATGGGTAACAGGAAGCTGGGTTGTCAGCTCTAGCAATGAGCCCCAAATCCCTACTATGTCTAAAAGGGAAATATGGATAAACGATTCCGAATCGCTTTCTTTTCACCACACACAGGGATCTGAAGCACAGAGCCTGGCTTCAGTGGAGGAAAACAGCTTTTCTTTGGCAGAGGGGAGCCCTTCTCCACCTCAGCAGGTAAACTGTGGTTGGCCAAGAAGCCTCCCTCTCTGAAGCTGAGAGTTTCCACCAAAGAGCAGCCTATTTGTTTCTCATTGCTTTTGGGGGAAGACAGGCTCTGTGCTTCCTAAGAGGCCCAGGTACAGGGCATCAGCTCCCATGCTCCAGGGATTCATTCTACCTTCCTGGAGTGCCCAAGTTTCCCATTTTCTGAGAGGGAGCAGAGGGAAATCGGGGGCTCTTTTGCAGCCCTTCTGATATGCCTGAAAGTTTCAATTCATTCCATTTCTCATTTTTCCTTCCTAAGTTCAAATGAAGTTGGCCCTCCTCTCCTGCCTAACCTTGCTCATCTTCTACCTACCATCATGCAACAGAGGAAGGCCTGCCTGTGTAAGGCTCTAGCCTCCTTTCCTGCCTCCCAACTGACATGGGTCCTTACCAGACTGTGTGCCAGCCACCACAGGCTGTGCCCTGTCCCCCACCCCCACATTGCATTTGCTTCTCTCTGTTTAGGGTAGTGTGTCAGTGAGCCATTGTGACGATCCTGCTATACTGAGCACTTGTATCTATCGTGTCCCAGTCCTAGTCACAGAAGGCAGGCCTGTTTTACAGCAAGGAATCAGAATCAGGCAGACCAGCGAATTTGCAGAGTAGTGGAAAGTCAGAACTGGTATCCAAATCTAACAGTAGCGTCCACATTTGCCTCCTACCGTCTAGGTGTGCCCTTCTCACCTCACTGGATTGAGCTCTCCTCTCCTCCCCTAGCCCTTCTCCTTGCACCACTGCCCACACTGCAGTTACTTGCCTGTGTTTCTAGGCTGGTGGACCCTGGGCATTAGATGTGGGTTGGACAGTTCCAGGTGGCCTTGAGGCCTCATTGGGGAGGGGGTCATTGACTGCACACATGCACACCAGAAGGAGGGAGTCAAGAGATATGGGCTGCAAGTGTCTGAGCAGGACACCACCTGGAGCATGCTGGCCTCCCCTCGCCCCTCATTACCCGAGATGTAAACACAGCAGAGGAAGTTTAGAGAAGGAGCAGCCCATGGCAGGATGATTTATGGGGACCTGTGGAAAGGGCTGAGTGTATGTCCACAGATGACTGCACAGTGGCAGAGTTTTCTCAGGAATCTCTTACCTCTGAAAGCCAGACAGAGACAGTAGGGAGGAGTGTGACCAGGGCAAGCCCATATAGGGCCATTCCCACACAATATGAGCCCTGTGGCAATCCTTCAGCGATTCCTTCTGCTCTGTTAAGGTCATGTCTGGTCTCTGGAGGCTACAACTCTCCTTCTCCATGTTCCCAAGTCTGCAAGCACATAGCTCTCTCTCTCTCTCTCTCTCTCTCTCTCTCTCTCTTTTCTTTTTTCCTTCTCTATGAAAGTCAGGAACACAGATGAATTACATTTGTCTGTGTGAGTGTGTGTGTGTGTGTGTGTGTGTGTGTGTGTGTGTGTGTGTGTGTGTGTGTGATAAATAAGAGGGTCTGCAGAGTGGCTGACCAATCTGGATTAGAAGCACAATGAAGATGCACGGGTGTAGTGAAGACAATATTTCCTGAGTGTTAGGTGTTGGCCAAAGCCAGGCCAGAGCTGAGCATCACTGTGTGATAGACACTAGGCAGGTCCAGGGGGTTCAAGGTACACATATGTCAAGACCTCAGCTGAAGCCCTCAAAGAGCTGAGGAAACACAGCACTTCTCCCCCCAAATGGCTCTGCATACCTGCCTGATGCTCAGGGTATCCCAATCTCATTCCTTCCAACCATGGATGGTCCTTGTGAGAGTCCAGAATAGACAGAATGTCCCTGTGAAGCAGGCACCTCACCTGATTAGAGGTAAGGGATTCCCCATAAGGACTGGGGAGCAAAACCATCCAATGAGCCAAAGCACAGACAGAATCAGGCAAAGTTCCAATCCCAGACCTTCTTTGCACTTGCTTTGAAGCTTTGACATTGACACCTGTAAAGCCTTAGTCCATCAGTGACTCTAGGGCAGCTGCTGCGAATCTTGACACCTTTGACTTCCAGAGTCTCTGGTCAGGGATGTCTCAGGCTGCCTCTCCCCAGCAGGCTGCTGCTTAAGGCCCTTATTGTGTCTTAGTCTTAAAGCTACCCTGAACCATTGGGTGGAAGATGTGAAACACCGTCCATACCATCCGCAGTCTCACAAGGACATCTTGGGCACATACCTGTCACTGAGCTCTGTGGATCAGTACTGGTGAGGGACAGGAAGAGATGGTTCCCCAGCTGTTGATATTGAAAGAACCTTGGAACCGAGGCTCTGGGCAAATCTAGCAATTTCCATCTCTTCTCTTTGGGTTTGTTTTCCATCTGAGGATGGATAGGTCCTTCCAGCTCTGGTCCACTATGAAGCTACTAAAAAGCATCAGAAGGTTTACTACTATCGTCAAGACAGGGAAGGGTGAAGACATTTCCAGGGCAGGAGACCACAGTACAAAATGTGAAAGCTGGCAGACCCCAGATACTCAGGACTTCAGCTGCAAGCAAGCTGAGCAAGTTAAATCTTGACCTACATCTGACCGTTTAAGCTAAGGAGGCCAAATTCCAGTTGAGAATAGAACAAGGTCTCTTCCAACTGATGACATGGAGGATGTTGTCACCCAGGCCCTGCGTGCTCCAATGCTTGTGTGTGTCTGAGGGTCTCTAAAGAAGTATGTGGATGCCAGTCCCCCTCATCTGTCCTCTGTCACTTCTCAGGGACTCCATCCGAGCAAGAAAAAACCCAGGATTAGTGAAGGGGGATTTCATCTTTGACTTTCAAAGAGTAAAACCAAAACTAAACACTGTGCCCTAGTTGGGTACCAGCTCCTCCTATTGGCAAGAAAAGCAAGGCCAGCGATGCCCAGTGCCTAGCCCTGGAGGGCACTTGGAGACCTCTCGCACCAAAGTCCACCCCTGCTCTAGGGAGCACCAGAAGGGGTGGCAGTCTATACTGTGCCTGGCACTGGCCCTGCCTGTCTGTGCTTTCCCTTGGGCTACTGCCTGCAGCCTTGTATCTGGCTTTTACTGCTGGAAGTAGCTCAAAGTCCCTGAGTCCATTCTTGCCCTTTTGTTGTATACATAGGGAAACTGAGGCCTGGAGAACAGTACTTGCCCCAAGTCATACAGCAAGCCAGGCATATGGCCCAGACTTGTATGGAGCTCCTGCCTTCTGGTCAGAGAGGTTCTTCCCCACTCAGGGGCCTAAAAGCTCAAGAACAGACTTGGGCCCTCAGTGCCAGCCATCTGTGGAGCCTGGGAATGCTCAGTGTGTTTGGTTTGGCCTTGAGGCCGCTGTGCCATGAGACAATTTTCTCCAACATGAGCCCAGGAGGGGGTGGGGACCTGGACTTTGTAAGCAGTGGGGGGCAGGGAGGTGGAAGACAGTACACACTCAGAGGGGCTTGTCCCCCCTCCCCAATCCCACCTCATTTCCCTGGGACGCCTTCCAAGTAATAAAAACTGTACTTGGGCTCCAAGGGAGTGTTTTCATCTTTAGTTTGGAAAGTGTGAAAGAAAATGCTTATGGGAGGCTGTGAGCTATAACTCCTTGGTCTTGACCTCCAGCGGCAGGGTAGCCTGGGCCCTGGCTCTAGTCACCTTACAGGGGACCCAGCCTACTGCTCTGAAACCCGCCCACAGAACTCCCCAAATGTCCAAGCTGAGACACAGCTGCTAGGCAAGGACTTCCAAGTAGCCTCTCATATGGTACGAAAGATGTTCTAGAAGACACCCAAGTGCAAGATCTGGAGATTACTCTGTCTGTATGTGTGTGTGTGTGTGTGTGTGTGTGTGTGTGTGTGTATGTATGTGTGTGTTGTTTTCAGTTTTATTTTTCATTACACAAGCAAGGGACAGTAGAGGTGGAGATAATTAATCCCCTTCAGGGGCTATAACCAGTGGGGCCTCAGTCCAATCCTAATGCCTCCAACTCAGTGTTCAAGAAGGTCTTATCAGGAAGTAGTGTGCTTCCTTGATGCTCAGGGCTCAGACTTCAGAGACAGATGGCTCCAGCACATCTTGTCTCTTCTAAGAAGCCTCATCTCCTTCAAGCTTGGTGGAAATAATACGGCACAGGTATAGCACTGAGCACAGTGATTGCCAGTGCCGATAAGTGTTTCATAAATGGGGGGCGGTTGTTATTAGTCAGAGAGACAGAGACACAAAAATAATACTGATGCTAAAAATAGCCAAAGCGTTCTCATGCTCCCTGGGGACAGGCATTGTTTCTGATAGAAACCTCCTGTTTGACCCTCGAATAATAGATGTTGCTCCCCGCAACCTCCCTCAACAATGAGGTTTTGGGAAGTGGATAGGGTTTTGTGGGAGCTTTTCCAGGTGGCATTGAGGGATGAAGAGCAGATCTCAGGCCTCCAGGGATATGAGTGGGATAACTGCAGCAAGACAGTGGGAATTGGGGAGGGGGACAGGTAAGAGGTACATCCAGCCCAATGCAGTGAGATCATGGCAGGTCCCACATGCTTGAAGGCCAGCATGGGTAGAAGGCAAAGCACACTGGATTTTGTGAGCTAAAAGAGATACTAGAAGACACCCCCCACACACACCTCCATTCCCCATTCTGCATGCACATCTGCATGCACATCTGCAGGAGTACCTTACTTGCTATCCTGAGCGAGACAAAGGTCTTTTGTCTCCTGGCCCACGGGCATACCAACCCACTCTGCTCCACAACCTAGGTACTAGGTAGCTTCTCTGAGCCCATTTTGTTTTCTCTCTTGCTGAAAGAGAGTAGCAAGATCCATTTTGAAGTCTTGTTGTGAGGAGAGAAATCCTGTTTGAACAGCTCGCCTAAGGGAGGCTCTGAACATTGTGGATAAAATCGCGTGGTAAAAATAAAGGCATTTGGTTTATGTCCTGCCATCCCCAGCATCCTAGGAGGGAGCAGCAAAAGGCAGGGCACCAATGAACAGGTGGAGCCTGTGCTCTGGGGACCCCAGAGCTGTCTCCTCTCTCATCTTGCGATTGTTTCTGACTCTCAAGATGGGTCACAAGTGGGCCAGGCCTGGTCTTAGAACTCAGCCTGGACTGGCTGTGGGGTCCTGGACTGCTCCCCTTCCTTGTCTGTACCCCTTCTTTCTTCTCCTTCTTGTGGGAAAAATTAGTAGTAAAGGTAGAGCTGAACCCCAAAGTCTCCTTCCAGAACAAGGCTGCTGACTCACTGTCATGTGCTTCCTCCCTTTTAGCACCACCATCTCGCCACCCCCCCTGCCTCTCCAGCCTACCCCCAGCTCTGGGACCACCAAGCCCTTTTTCCGGTCCTCGAACCAGCTCCAACAGCAGGAACCCCTGGGGCCTGCCAGCAACTCTCCGCCTACCCTGGGCTTCCTGCCTGCCTTTACTGCCACCATGGCCGCCCACTTCCTGCTACACACGTTCGGGCCCTCCTGACCTCGACCACCCCAGTGAAGAAGTCAGAGAACCACAGAAGATTCTGTGGTCACACCCACCACCTGACACCACCTCAGGGGGTGCTGACACCTCGAGGTAGTCCACACAGGACGAGAACCTTAAAACACTAGAGACTTATTGTACCCAAGTTACATCTTCTTTTTTGTAGAAGGTCTTAATTTCCCATAGTGCTATGGGGCTCTTTTGTAAAATATGTGTCCATATTAAAAGAGAAAAGTGTATTTATTCTACTGATAAAACTATTTTTATGTGGCCTATGTTATAGTCCCTGGATTAGCCACCACACCAACACAGGAGAAGAATGACCTCTGTGAGCTGTGTGGCCTATGGCTTTGAATTGGCCTCTCTTGGGCACAGAGCCTCCTGGTCAGACTTGGCTTCTCCCGCTGCAGGTACTTCCAAGGGCAGGCAGAAAGTAGGCCTAGCTTTTGAGGAGCTGGTCTCAGATCCAGAGGCATAGTTGCAGATCATACTTCCCTTCCCTGGATGTATCCAGGCACTGGGGGACAGTTTAGGAAAAAGATTGCTGCTAATTATGAAGCCCTGAGCACCTGCGGACTGGCCCTCCAGAGTTCTGGGTGTCTCCATGCAAGATTGGAGACTGGTGCTAAGGAACATGAGCCCAGTTCTGTGGCCAGATGACTACACTGAGACCCAAAGATGGAGTGGGGCTACCCAAGGTCACAAAGAAAGTCTGGCCTCTGTCCCGGTGGTTTTAGTCCAGCTTGGGTCCCAGAGGGGCTGGTGAAATCACACCTAAGTGGAATGACCTGGGAAGAAGGACAGGAGTGGATATAGGGCAGTTTTAGGGACAGGGACTCAAAGTATGATAAAGTACGATAAAGTATGATAAAGCCACCAAGTATGATAAAGACAGTGGTAAAGAAAACCTCTTATCTGAAGGGCTGCAGGGTGGGCTCTTTGCACGTTCACTTTTTCCCAGTGCTGTGAGATGTGATGACCCCCATTTCAATGCTGAGGAAACTGAACCCACAAAAGAGAGGAAGGGTTGTGCCCTAGGTCAGCAGCCCTAGATTGCTATAATATAAAAACAGTCCTTGTCACATGTCCTGTGTTCTGCCCGCATTCTTTCTGCCCAGAGAAGCTCCAGGGACTACAAATCTCACCCAGACTGAGACCCACCTAGGCTTCCCATGCCAAGCAAAGAGACCATTTTATCATCTCACTGATGGTTCCTGCGGCCAAGAAATTCTGTTAAGAAGGGCAGCCAATATGGACAGGCAGGCAGTTGAGACTCAGAAAGACCTGGCTGAGGACATAGAGGGCCCCTGGAGGCTGACTCCTAGCTCTAAGTCCTCAGCTGGACTCAACTAATTACATATGGAATCCTAGATCCCTCACCTGTCAACAGTAAGAGTAATACTAAGCACATTAGTACTAAGAGTAATACTAAGGCTCAGAGGAGGAGACATTTCTCCAAGGTGGCGCAGCTGGGCACACTGATTCTAGCCTATTCTGCTGCCTCACTGCGTATGGTTTACCCTAGCAGGCTTGATGGTTCCTGGTTGGCTGCAGGGTGATCATGCCCAGCTTGGCAGCCGTTCCCTTCTGAGATGTTAGGATTCTGGGCTACTCATTGGATACTCAGGGGTCCCATGGGCATCCTGGCAGGCAGCAGAATTTTTTCTAGCTCTGCCTGACCCAGTGGATGGGTTTAAGCCTGAGACTTGGCAGAATCCTAGCGGTCTGCTTCACAGAGTCCCACCAGTCTCATGGGCACCATGCTGTAAACTGAACTTGACCTCAGCCAAGGCTGGAGTCAGTTTATCCTTGGCAAAAAATGTGACTTCCTATTGCTGAGCAGGAAGGGGCTTAGGTTTTAAAGCAGGCTCAGAAGTTAGACATCAAACAGATCGTGCAGAGCGCTATTGGGATGAGATAAGTGTAAAGGAATTGGAAACACACAGGCCAGATTCCCCTATTGGGGGCAGAGTATGGCATGAGATGTATGGAGATCAAGCTTGAGGTTAATTAAAGATGAAGCATTTGGGGAAACAGTCCAGGTACAGGACTATGTGCCCAGACCTGTGCCAGGCATGGGGCCAAAATGGTGAATTAATGCAGCATGTAATTACTGCAAAAGCACAGTGCCAGGCTGGAGTACATGGGCTGAATTGTATCCTTCTTTTGAGCCCAGAGGACTCCACTCTCAAGATGGGACAAGCAGGCCCATCCTGGGCTATGTTGTTCTGGCCCCAACTTCAGGTCAATTCAGCCCTTGTCTTTCCAGTTCCCTTCTGGAGGAAGATTGAAGGGGAGGGAAGTGTTCCAAACTCTTCTTCAACCATACTTTAAGGTACTTAAAAACAATGTGCAAGGCTTGGTAGACCATATCTGTAATCACTGCCTTTGGGAGGCTAAGGCAAAAGGATCACAAGTTTGAGGCCCAGCCTGGGCTACATAGTGAGTTCTAGAGCAACTTGAGCTACATAGCCAGACCCTGTCACAAAAAATAGGAAAAGAAGGAAGAAAACGAAGGAAGGAGGGAGAGAAGGGAGGGAGGAAGGGAGGGAGGGAAGGAGGGAGGGAGGGAGGGAGGGAGGCCAACAGATAAACAAATTAGGTTGACATGCACTGAGAAAGCTAGAGCCATTGTCAATCAGACAATGTTTCCTCGTCCCTGGGAAATTCTAGCAAGCCAGGATTTCAGATGAACCCAACTTGCTGGCCTATGTCTCGGGAGATCTCATACACAGAAGCAGGATACACAGCTAGGTCACTTGAACCTCTTGTCCTTCCCTGGAGACCCAGCAATCCATCAGCAGCTTCACAGACTTCATGGTCTCTGTGCTTAGCCTCATAAAACTCAGGGCCTTGATTCCTTGTGATTTTCATGAGTATTTCTTAGGACTTCCATTTTTTACTTTGAGGAAGACAGGAAAGATGGAAGGCTAAGGCCCAGCAAATTAAGTGATCAGAATGTTAATATGGCCCCAGGTCAGCTAACAGTAAGGTGGGGAGAGCCCCAGCCTCCATGGCGGAGGTGTAAGAATCAGGCTGCCAGGGAGGTGCAGGTACCAAATGTCCCTCTAAGTCCTGGAATCAAAGGTCAGTGTGTAGCACGTAGACTGTGCATGACTCAACACATCCACCTCCCACTGAAATAACCAGGCACATTCTCCTCACACTGAATGCCGTCACCTCTTACTTTCCAGCTTCAAGTAGACTTGAGCAAGCCTGGGAGCTCAGGTACCTTGAATCACCCAGCCAGCCTCCAGTCTAGTTAGTGCCATTGTCACAACAGATCCAAAGAGAACTGCTACCAAAGGAGAGTCTATTTTAAAAGACGTTTCTACCTCAGAGATGTAGCTTTGAGGGCATCCTAGGTAGTAGAAAATAGAATTGAGGTAGTGATAGTCTCTCAGTGATCATACAGTAACAACCAGGTCCTCTCCCTGGCATTTTCCTCCCCTCCATTAGCAAGCCCAGCTGACCTTGCTGGCTGTGTTTCATCCCTCCAACCCTGTGCTTAACCTGATGGAATTGTATCTGTCATTTCTAGGGTACACAAGGTGTTTCCATACATGCTGCTTCCTAAGTGAACGCCCTTCACCTTTCCCCCAACAGTTTATCCTGTGAGGAGCACCTCAGGTGGCACTTGATCCCAGAAGGCCACCCTGGGGCCTTTTATAACTTCTTAGTATCTATTACCACACCTACAGCTCAGGGTTGGAACTATGTAGATATGAATTTGCTCCCTGGTAGGAATCCCAGCAACTCAAAGGCATGGGTCATGTGATTCATCCTTGTATGTCATCCCAAACAAAGGTGATGTTCAGTTGAGAGGGACAGAAGGAGGAAAGGAAGCAGGAGGAGAGGAAAAGAAAGAGATGGAGCTAGGATAGAGGAGACACAGCCTTATTTCTGCCTGGAACAACTCTACTTGCCCAGCTGGTGAAGGCCAGTACCCTGAGGGCAGAGCTTACAGAATGAAGGTGGAGGTGTCAATCTGCAGGGCCACAAGACCCACTGGCTAGAGAGGTGGCAGCCAGCCAGAGTCTTGGCAAGGGATTGGTGTGGATGACATGGAGGTGTGTCCTGGGTCTGTAAAGCTCATGTTCTTTGAACATTGTCATTTTTCCAAAATTCATCTAGGCAACCAAAAGTAGCACCGTGGCTGTCTTTCTGAACTAGTAGGTTCAGGGCTCAGTCCAGCCTCCCTATACCCCCTCCCCTACTCTTCCACTACCCATGAACTGGCAGGGCTACCTGCTGCTCTTGGGCAAGGGACATCATGGGGGGGGGCTGGACTGAAACCTTATCCAAGGCCCCATCCCCTTCTCTTTCTGTCCCCGCCCCCAACTCTGGGAAAGGGAAAACAAGGTTCATGAGAGCTATCAGGCCCCTTTCTGGCCCTTTCCAGGGACTGTCGTCTCCCCAGCCCCTTCCTCCCAAAGGCATGCTGGGCTTTTCTTCTCTTAATGTTCTCTACATACTGCTTCCCTTTGCTCAATGACTTTGGGTTAGTCCCTGCCCCCTCTAAGTCACATGGAGACTTTGCTTCCTGGGCTAAGAGAAAGAGACATGACATATACAAATTTGGGGCTCCGTAAAAGTGACTTTACCCTTCTACAATTTAGCTTTCCACACGGGCCCCACAGGCTGCCATGATGGGCACATGTACAGACCCCTTCTAGCCTAAGACCTGCCATGGGGCAAGTGGGCTTTGAATGGGATCAGAGTCTAAGGTGCCTTCAGTGAGCTGCCAGGGACCAAGGACTCTCAGAACTCCTGAGTCTCTGGGGGCGGGGCTGGGTGGGTGTGGCCCTTGCCTAACGATTCATGCTAAAAAGAGAGACCTCTTTTGGATGGTCTTTGCCCCTTCCTGAGCCTGAGATTTGTGGCTATTCCAGCATGCCTTGCTGTGCCACACTGGCTTCAGTTCTTGCCATACTGGAAGGTACTCATGGTCTCATTCTTAAATCACCTCTTCCCTCACCGCTGTGAATTGTCATGAAGAGTTCTTTAAGAGTGTAATAGAACACAAAGAAAGATGCTATTAATGTTATTTTGCCAAAAATATTTTTGTAGCATAATATATTAATAAAAGACATTATGACTTGATCCCTTGTTTCCCTGTGCTAATCATTCCCCTTCTCCTATGGAGCATGTTTGGAGGGATTACTGGAATGTGATGGACAGGACCTATGACCTTGGCGGAAAAGACTTGAATGGCCACATTTTCCATGCACAGATTTGGGCAGGGGCTGAGAGGGTGGCTTGAACCGGTGGCTACAGAGGCCTGGCACCAAAGGAGATGCAGATAGCCCTCACCAGGCAGAGGGAACTGCCCATGTGAAGATTGGAGCGGAGCCTGTAGAAGGGGCTAATTTTATGTTTGAATAGACATGGAGTGGACAAGGCAACAAGCTCTGAGACAGAAAAAGCTTGGGATGAGTTGGGTATGCAAGATCACCTTTGCCAAATACTACAGAGTAGGAATGAACTGGCTATGTCTTCTGTGGGTAAGGGGCTCCAAAGCTCATGCCTCAGTCTTACAAGCTGAGGAAGACAGGGTATACAAGTTGCTCTGAGGACTCCCAGACAGAAATCAGGCAGAGCAGTGAGCAGGGCTCAGGGTGTGGCTCCATAGAACGGGGCATGCAGGCTGGCCACCTTTTATAAAATCTGGATTTGCTAGACACTCTCTCTCTCTCTCTCTCTCTCTCTCTCTCTCTCTCTCTCTTTCTTCCTGATCAGTCACAAAGAGGAATAAAATTTCCAACTTGAAGACCAAGTTCCAGGCAAAGAAAAACTGGATGATCAGAGATTCCCTGGCATCCCTTCCTGGTTCTCATTCACTTCCTGTCCTAAGGACTGGGGGAAGCACAAACAAGACTGTTCCCCAGCACCATCTTCCAGTCCCACTGTCCCCTCCAACTCACTGCCCATTCTCCCTATTTTCACCTGAACATTTTCTTCCTGTTGCTCAAGGTCTAGCTGAATGTCTTATCTCCTTGTTAGAAGTCTGCCCTCGTCCTCCAGCCTCACATTTCACACCTCTTCTAAAATCCCAGAATGCTTCTGCACATCTAGTCTCAGGAAAAATGCTGAAATTTTAAAGAAGCAAAGCCTAAGCCTTACTCATGCTTGCATTCCCTCAGTGACCAGAGTCTTTAGAATAGAGGACATGTTGATTTCATTCATTTTAATCCTGAAGATGAAGCACCATCCAAGATCAGTGTTCATCAAAAGCAAAATTGGAGCTACTGGGAGACTCTGTCTCAAAAAGATTAAAAAAAAAAAACTGGGGCAGGAATTGTAGGTCAGTGGTAAAGTTATTATTTAGCATATACAAAACCCTAGGTTCCATCCCTAGCACCACCAAATAAACCAATGAAGGAAGTGGCCGCCCTTCTTTCTTTATCTGTAAAGTAACTTCCAATAACTTCCAATCAACATTCCTGCCCCCACCCCCAGGGTTCACAATCCCCACCCACAGGCAGCAGCAGGTGGGGGCGCGGATTGGAGCTTTCATACAGCTGTTGGGGTCAGGGCTTGTGGCTGTAGAGATGGTCAGGGATGCTTGATGACCTGAAGAAAGTCCAACATAAAGAACTGCTCCCCTCATCCCACCATCCTGCCACAGTTCTTGTATGCTTTATGAAGCATTCTTAGGAGAGGAAAATCCATTTGTATCTGAGCCTAGAACCTAAATCTATGTCATATAAACACAAAATGTTTGCTAAGTTTACTGCACACTGACTCTTACAGGAATTCCTTTGTGAAAGGAGACTGTATGAGGCTTTGTTCCAAATTTTACCAAGAGTGGTTCCTATTTCTGAGTGGCACCTTACTCCCAACACTAGCTGACAGAGGTTATAGGGGTGTAAAAGCCACATACACCTGCCCTCCTGTATTTTACCTGTCACCTTCACAATGGCAACAGGCAGGCGCAGACTTTTGACTGCTGTGCTGTATCCACAAATGGTGTTGGCCACAAGAATTAACAAACCAAATCACCCATTATTTTAAGCTATTTTTCTTTTATTTCTTTCTCCTTATACTTAGTACATTAGATTGGGTTTTTGAATCATTGACTAAGCATGTTATCCATACATTTAATTTCCACATACAAAGGCCACTCTCAAATAGTTGCACTAACATGAAACACTCCATCTCAAAGGGTAGAGAACCAACTGCCGCTCAGCACATTTTAGCCCTGAGAAATTACCTCCTGAGATGGCGTGCCGGGGCCTGGAACTAATACGCACTTGTGCTGTTTTCGTGCAGCCTTCACTGCATGGTCATGCTAAAGAAAGCAGCACTTTGCCCCAGAGAGGGTGGTAGTATGGAACTCAGGAAAGGGCAGCAGCCTGAGTCCCCAAACCTAAGATGACTGCTTTCTGGCAGTTTTCCCTTTAGCATTTCACAGAACCCTGGGTCTGG